GCTACATGCCTTGCTTATTGTACACACCCTGAAACAATGCAATTTGATGTCCCTAAAATGAGAAACCATTTATATCAGTCTTTAAAATCTGGTGTATTGAAAATGTTTCCTAAATTTTAGACTGCTTAAGGTACATCTACAGTTAAAAAATTTTTGGAGAGAAAGAATACCCACTTTATTATAGTGAAAATAAAATAGTTGCCCGATGCAATGGACCTGCATATTTGAATGCTCAAGATGGAGGGTAGGGACCCAGTCTACGTTGAATCGATCCCAATCTTTCGCAGCTTCTTCTGAAACGAAGTGCCGGCTGCAGACCCTATCGCGTTCTTAAATATCATCAGTTAAGTCATCTCTACTTATCGCACAGATCCACATTCTTCTTCGCTCAGAAGTAAGTTCTTCGGTGTACTCTCCTTGGCTATACTGAACACGTGGGACACGAAAAAACATTACTTTTCCGACGTTAGACCACTTCTTCTCTGTTTTGTTCCCACAGCTAATGACAAGGCAAAGGACCGTGATAACGAAAATATAAATATTACACTATTGTCTTCTCAAAACCGTAAAATGTGCTCCAAACGTTTCTTGTCACAATACTCACAGCTGATTATCATAGAACACCAACATGGCGGATGAAGTCGGTTACCATGACGATAAAGAAATTTGGTCACGTGAGTGAAAACGCTCTATCGGCGAGCAGCGACTCGAGTCGTTTGAGCCCGCAGTTGAGATTACCAAAAGATCAGCCCTTTAAATGCGAAATTTATATTTACATAAAGTTTCACATAGTGGTAATACGGAGTGCCGGTGGCCTTACGGTAAAAAGCAATGTGATTGGTGAGATTGCCAAGGTGGCGATGCAGGTGGTTAAAATCCGCCGTCCTCGAGTAAAATTTACATTTTGCTTAACTTCCTTTCCTTGTTTTCTTTTTTCCTTTTTCGGACACAACAATCATTTTCCCGGATGTATACATTTAAAAATAGAAGTATTGATGCCACAAATGAAATATATGCTGCAAGAGATAAAAGTGTATTCAGAGATTGGGAATACTTTAATTAATTCACAAATGAAAAACGTATACTTTTTTACTCTTTCAAGATTATCATTGGCTTCTTTTTCACCTCAACACTATTCTTAGCAACAAAGGTTGCCATTTCGTTTATCACTCGCCAAAAACTATCAAATACATTCAAAAGCCTAAAATAGAAAAAGGTTTACAGGAATCGACCGATCGAGCGAGCGAACGCCATTCATCAGATCATACGCACAACTCGATCTTGCGCACGCGCAGTTCACGAGTTAAAAATACCAGGTGATCTGTGACGTCATTGCGGGGGCCTGGGGAAAGAAATTTTAATGCCATATCCCATAAATCAGCGCGCGCACCAATTCAATCTGTTTTCGGTCGTGCGCCATGCGGGAAAGTTTGCGACAAAGAAATGTTCTGAAAGACAGCTATTGTCCTGAAAGGTGAAAATTTTACTTACTTGGATGGCTTCTGTGAGTCCAATGCTGGGATAGTATTCTCGTCTCAGCGCTCGATTCTTTCCCGCAGAAGACTGTTTTAAAAGTTTCATTTCCATCAGGGAGTACATTTTGACGACGTACTCAGTTTTATTGTGCGATGGTAATGTGCTTAAGAGACATACACAAGCAAAAAAAATCCCTTCCATGGGGGAGATATGAAATTTTACAGAGCTACACATTTCGTTGAAATATCCATAATCACCCTACAGACCTCTACCTCTATTGTTGCAAGGAAAGTAAAGCTAAAGACAACTTCCTGGTGCCTAAGTGTGTTAAACCACAAAAACTTTCTGTGGATGAGATATAGATATTTTCTGGCTCAGTACAATCACTGTTGATGTGAACTAGTTTGAAAAAGGCACATTTTACCTGCTGCAATTTTTGCAGTTCGCAAACAGTGTTTCAGCTGATGGAAACCCAAGGTGAGTAGTACCAGGGTAGTACTCCAAAAAGGCTGTATCATTCAAATTTTTGTGCCCAGTGTTCCCAAGATTTTGTTTTGCAAACTCTCCGCGCTTTTCTTTAGTGGGGGCTTTTCCACATAGTTCATCTCAAATTTTTTTTTTGGCAACTCTCTGCATCTAAAACTGTCCAAACTGGTTCTGGACAGATGATCTTCATGTCACCCAGTTAGCTCTGGGGCTTCTGGGATTGAATAAGTAGATTTGGCAGATGAATTGCCAGTAGATAACCTCCTTTCCTTACCATCCCCACAAGTGTCTTCGACTAATAATTTTTATTTCTTGCCCAGTCAGTGGATGTTTAATTGTTTTTAGCTCTTGAAGCAAAGGGCAACAGTCAAAACTGTGCTAAGTAAATTGTAAGGCTCAACTAGTTTCACTCTTACACTGGTTTCTGCGGTAAAATGATGAGACCATTTAAGCCAAGGAAAACCATCTTTGTAATCCATTAGAATCAGATAATTGTTGGGTGTATTTATTACACTCTGAGTTCCAGGTTGGGCAAGAAACAATGAAATGTACTTTTCAATGTCAACATGGCCTACAACCACTTCTCCAAATTCATTAAATTCTAGACCAATTTGTTTCAGTAATTCTTGGTGGGTGTCATTCAGATTACCAAAAATCTCATCTTTACTTAAAATTGTTNGGTGACACAATTTTTGCAATCTTTGGCAAAACTAAATCCACAAGTTCTTCATCGTTCAGACAGTTCAGCAGTTCACTGACCCTTTGCTTCCTGGATTAAGGATTACTCTCGTCGTCTAGAAATTTTTCTGCGCATTGTCTTAATGAAACCCGTTTCCGAGAGGTTGACAAGCCATCCAGTTTTTGCTCCGGATAAAGACGAAGATGTTCGTTTAAATTCATTTTGTTTTTCTAAAATTTAGCACAGTTTTGAAATGGACAATGAAGTCGAATTACTGACTCGGCGTGAAGCACATTTTCCTTTGCTCGATAAGACATCCAAACAAACAATAAAAATCACATTAAAAACAATTAGCCGGCAAAAGAAACAATACATATTTAAAAGTACTTTAAATGCTGAATATCGCTGGGTCAAAAAGCCCGCGATAATGGAACTGACTTGGAGAGAGCTACGGAGGCTCGATCAAAACTTCTTCAAAATCAGCACATATAAAAAATAAAATCAACACAAACACACCATTTCCACAAACAAGACAGCTTTAATACGAATAAAATTTACTGTTGATAAAGCGAATGCCCGATCCAGTACATAAGTAAACAGAAGTAAGAAATAAAAAAGCAAATTTCATACAATGCATGAGTACATCGAGCTTACGTTTGGATTTTCTGCAATGTTCATCGCGAAAAGCTGTCAAAGTATTTAACCACGCAGACACGGAGTTTCTCACGGCAGTAGCTGCATTGTTCAAACTGCCCATGACAAGTCTTCTCACTTGTTAAAGTGCGAAAGTAGTTAGCTAAATCGACCTCGCATCATGCAGACCGGCCGCCATGAAAACGGATTAAATTGGTTCGCGCGTTGGTTTATGGTATACGACATTAAAATTTCTTTCCCCAGGCCCCCGAAATGACGTCACAGATCACCTGGTAGTCTCGCCATGAACACCGCACATGCGCTTTACTGGTTCTTATCGCTTTTAAAGCTGAGGTAGCAGTATTATGTGCTCATTCTGCTTTCACTTGGTATTGGGTGACTTCGCGTTGGAAGAAGAGAACACCTTTGTCTTCAGTTGGGTAAGGGTTCTTTTGATTAATTCTTGATGCATGTTTACCGCCAGCTTAAACACAGTGCTTCGGCTTATCCGGACAGTTGGCGTAACTCTCGAATTTGGTTTGTCGATAGCAGAGATGGAATGCAACCATCTCTCTCCTTTTAAATTACGACAATTTCATTGCCTTGATCATCTTTGTTTTGTTCTCTGTCGCTAAAAGATTGGGAAGCGAAACGTATGGGTATTCATCCCCTCCAAAATTCAAACTTGTTGTTCAAACATTCAATTCGTCACTTCAAACATTCAACTCGGCAATTCAAACGTCCAATTCGTCAAATCAAAGATTCAGTTCGTCACTAGAAACACTCAATTTGGCAATTCAAACGTCCCATTCGGCAATTCAAAGATTCAATTTGTCAATCGAACATTCACTTCGTCATTTCAGACATTCGATTCGTCAATTCCAACATTCAATTCGACAATTCGCCGGTTGAAATATCAATTCTGACATTCACTCTCGACGTTCAAAGTTTCGACATTCACTTTCGACATTCACTCTCGACGTTCAAAGTTACGACTCCATAAAGTTGCGCAATTTTCTGGCCATGAATGNTAGTAACTAGTTTATGTTGGTTCAGAAAAGAGTCAAGTTGAAAGCAGGCAATACTTTCCAATAACTTACTTGGTATATTTAGAAGTGAAATTGGACGATAATTTCCACAATCCTGAGTATTACCTTTTTTGTGGATACAGTGGACTTGTGCTGTCTTCCATTGCGATGGGAAATTGCAATCATCAAAGCTCTTCTTTGCAATGTTAAGAAAGTTATCAATGAAGGCATCACCCAGCATTTGTAGTTCTTTGCCAGAGATTTTGTCAGGGCCACAGGCTTTACCCACTTTAATGTGATGCTTGAAACAATAAGACAGGAGTTCTCTATTAGCGGTAAATGACTGTAAGGTAGGGGTAATTCTGTAGATGTGATTGGCTGGTTGAGTGGAAATGTCTCGAGGTGACAAACTGTTAGTATTTGGCCCATTAAAAGTTGTTCGAGCTCTTCATCTAGAAATGAAATTGACTGGAATATCAGTGCCTGCAGAAACAGTTATTGAGTTATGGTGAAACCAGGGAGAAACCAAGCGACCCCACAATGAAGTTGTTTACAATGAGTTCTTGCTTTACGATGAAAGAATGAGTTGACTCAAACTAGTCACCGATAAAATGGTTAGGCTTAGGAATAAGACTTCGTTTCTCTTTGATTGCTTTTTTCAAGACTGAATTAAATTACTAGATGTAGAAAGTTGTATTAAAATAAAATTGACTTGTCTTGTTCTTTTCTAACATAAGCATGGCTTTTGTTGTCTTCCTTTTTATCGGTGCTGATTAAAAGTTTTTGTACTCTTTTATGACAGTACATGCATCTCTTTTGAGCACCAACTTCTGAGACCCTATACTTGAAAATATTGCACTCTTCAAGACCTTGGTCACACAGTCCGGAAACCAAAGAATTTCAGCAATAGATTACATATATCTCAGTGAATGTGTCAGGGGCTATTTCTATATACATTAATGTGCAGTTCTAATGTCCTTTTTTATTTATTATTCCCTTTATTTATTCCCTTTGTTTATTCCCTTATTTATTATTCCCTTTCCCAGATGAATGTGTTACATGCCTACAGGGGCTATTTCTATATACATTAATGTGCAGTTCTAGCATCCTTTATTTATTATTCCCTTTTTAATTTTTTCAGAAAACAGTGCCAGTGTGACTTAATGGCTGCAGGGAAGGACATATTTTTCAGAAATGTCACTTTACTCAGGTTTGAGGATTGTGACAGAAGAAATGGAAAAGTATATCAACCCACCACCATTGATAAAGCAAAACTAAAAAAAACAGAAGCTGGACAGTTTAAAAAAGGTGTCCAGTTTTCCAAAACCATGTCAGAGCACGATGTGACACAAACACTCAAGGAGGCGTTTCCAACTTTTAACTTAAATGTAGGGTAAGGATGTGTCATTTTTTATCTTTAAAAGGCCACTGATGTTGGAGAAACCGCAAGATTACACTGTTTTGCCACAGGGTGGGAGATCTATATACAATAGTAAGGTATCCCAAAAATATATGCAGCTAGTGTTTTTATTTCATATTTTAGCACGTACACACCATTTGAAAATAACAATGCTTTTGCAATATTCACACTTATTGCTTCTGCCCAATAATTCCTTACTTCAAATGTATTTCACTATAAGGAAAATGGGCAAAATGGCTCACTGGAAATTAATTTGGGTTGTCATGCGAAGTATCTCCAAAGCGGGCACAAAGATCAAACCCCTTTCAGATACAAATAAACTGCGATGACACATTTAACATGTCTTTTTGGCATAAGCTAATCATTGTGAGTTTTAAAAAAATGTTTATTATCAACCTGATTTGAAAGGATTTTGACTTAAAGATCTTGATATCACCAAGATCTTCTATTTTTTCCACGGGTATCACTAACTTACAGATATTTGATTAAAATGATTTTGAGCTGTATTTTTTTAATGGCAGGTTTTCATGCGCGAAAATCACTAACGAAAGCAACACATTTAATTTTGATGGCGAACATCGTATCTGGAATGGATTGACAATCAGAAAGAATCTAAAAGGCCATTCCGTTCTGTACATTGTTATGAATAAACCTCCAAATGGTATGTGCTATGTTAACACTGTGTGCATGTATGAAATTGAAATTCGTTTCCTTACCTGTTCTTGGGTATATTTGCTTTTCAAAGAAAATTTCAGCTTCTTGATCTGTCAGCTATGCCTTTTTGGTTAAATATTTATTTTCTGCTGATTTTTTAACCTCAAAATGAAGGTTGATAGAAATATTCGGCTCTCATATGGCTCAAAGAACAGTTGAAAAACACTGGAAGCAGCTCTTCTTGCCGAGTGATGAGTCAATCAATTCTAAGTTATGGCATCTCCCTCAGGGATGTTGGATATGTGTTGGATATGTGAGGAGCAACATCAGTGATCCCGACTTTCTGCTCATTGACCAAGCTTTAAAATTTAGAACTTGAAGATCTTTTCTTCTGAGTCATTCCCTCGCGAAAGTGCAGTCTTAACCTTTAATTACCTTCATGTTAAAAGATAAAACATGAAGATCCCACTTGAGAGACTTGACATTTCTGCTTCAAATTCTCACTCCAGCCAGGAGAGGTTCAAACTATAAAGTAGCCATTCACTGGGCACAGCTGACAATCAAATGCACGCGGGTATATACTTCAATATGTAAACAGAAACTGTAGCAACACTTAAACACCTCAAAGTCAATTCTTTTATTACAGATGTTATAATTAAATGATCTACAAAAAGATATTAGTTATCTCAATAATGTACAATATAATTAGATAGATCACTTTCTTTATAATCAGAGAATGTTTAGAAATACATTTGATAATAAAAATTAATGGTAAAAAACTACGACGTTTCGAAGTCTGCATGACCTCATTATCAAGTAAAATGTTAAAACTGATGTAAAATTGTAGCTCAGAGATTATATACAAATAAAATGTGATAACTTCATTAGAATAATGAGCGTTCATTGTTATTGGTGTTTAGCATGTCAGATCGTGCAGTATATGTTTAAATAAATACTTTTGCACGTATTGAGTCAGACTGCGTGTTTAACTTTGGTTTTTGTTCGCGAATGAATAACATTTCGTGGATTAGGCAGTCCATTTTCCCGCGGCATTTCTTGAGAACGGAAAACATTTCCTCTAGGCTAGTGGACGCTACACTGTGGGCTTCTTTCAGATGCTTGCCAATGACAGAGGCTTTATGTTCTTCTATGCGTTGATGAAGATGGCGTGTGGTATAACCGATATAATCCGCATCGCACGAATCACATTTAAAAGTGTAAACAACGCATTGGTGGTTAATTAAAGCGGGCTTCTCTTCTTGTATCTTGAGCTTTCCCTCGATCTTACGACTCGTGAAAACTGGTTGTAGGTCAGTTCCGATTTTCCGGCCAAGATCTTTCAGCTGATGTCTTACTGTGTCGGCCGATTTTTGGTCTTTAAATGGTAAAGTTATTCTGACAGGTTTTTGTGTAGCCGCGTCAAGTTCAGTTGGGGTTTCGTGACGGCTTTGGATCGTAGAACTCGTGTACCAGGCGATAGCTGAGTTGATGAGTTTCACTGGGTACTTAAGCTTAGTAAACATCCGCTTGAGATGCTGGCATTCCTTCGTAAAAGATTCTTTCGTTGATGACAGGCGGTAAGCTCGGTTCAGCATTGTATTCAGCAGAGATCTTTTGTAACGCTGATCGACATGGCTCTGGTAATGTAAGAGCAGTCCTGTATCAGTTGGTTTATGATATACGCTTGTTGTCAGGTGGCAACCGTTTTTCTCAATCATCATACCGAGGAATGGAAGCTTGTTGTTTTCAGCAATTTCCATTGTGAACTGTATGGCAGGATGGCATTCGTTCAATGTTGAAAGGAAAGCTGTTGCGGCTTGAATATTTGGCATCGTGGCTAATGTGTCATCGACGTACCTTTTGTAGAAACTTGGTAACTTGTTGTTGCGATCCAGTTGTTCTTCAATGGAGCACAGGAAAACGTTTGCCATAAGGGGTCCCAGGGGCGAGCCCATGGCCACACCGTCCACCTGCTCATAAAGTTGACCGTCGAACTGAAATAGCTGATCTTTGGTTGCTATTCTTAAAAGTTCGGTAAGACCTGTCTTTGTGAGGTTGAGACCATGCGTTTCATTAAACCAGTTGTTTTTAAAGGCTTTTTCAGCGATGATCTCAATAGTCTCGTCGAGTGGCACGTTGGTAAATAAAGCACATACGTCATACGACACGAGAATGTCATTCGGGTTGAGTGGTGTTTCCCTTATCACTTCGGCGAAGGAGAAGATATCGCAGATAGTGTGCTGATTTAATGAAAGGGGCTTAAGCTTCTCTTCAAGCCACTTGGCCAGGGCGAAGTTGTAGGTCCCAGTCGATGATAGTATCGGTCGCATTGATAGTTGCTGTTTGTGAGTCTTTGGAAGACCATAAAGGTGAGCAAGCCGGGAACCTTTGCGACAAACTGTGTCAGCAATCGGCTTTGGCAGGATTTTTCTGACGACGGACTCCAGCTGTTTTTCTTTTTGTAGTAAGGGATGGTAGTGTTTAGGAGGCCGGCCGCGTGTTTTTGGTCTTTCTGTGTTGATAGGGGTGAACTTCGTTGTGTCTTTGATGGAAGCATCACTTAGTAGACGGATGTACTCTGTCTTGTCCATTACTACTACGCCAGATCCTTTGTCGGGTTTTGTAATGACAATGTCTTCCCTTCGTCTAAGCTNATTGCTGAAAACAACAAGCTTCCATTCCTCGGTATGATGATTGAGAAAAACGGTTGCCACCTGACAACAAGCGTATATCATAAACCAACTGATACAGGACTGCTCTTACATTACCAGAGCCATGTCGATCAGCGTTACAAAAGATCTCTGCTGAATACAATGCTGAACCGAGCTTACCGCCTGTCATCAACGAAAGAATCTTTTACGAAGGAATGCCAGCATCTCAAGCGGATGTTTACTAAGCTTAAGTACCCAGTGAAACTCATCAACTCAGCTATCGCCTGGTACACGAGTTCTACGATCCAAAGCCGTCACGAAACCCCAACTGAACTTGACGCGGCTACACAAAAACCTGTCAGAATAACTTTACCATTTAAAGACCAAAAATCGGCCGACACAGTAAGACATCAGCTGAAAGATCTTGGCCGGAAAATCGGAACTGACCTACAACCAGTTTTCACGAGTCGTAAGATCGAGGGAAAGCTCAAGATACAAGAAGAGAAGCCCGCTTTAATTAACCACCAATGCGTTGTTTACACTTTTAAATGTGATTCGTGCGATGCGGATTATATCGGTTATACCACACGCCATCTTCATCAACGCATAGAAGAACATAAAGCCTCTGTCATTGGCAAGCATCTGAAAGAAGCCCACAGTGTAGCGTCCACTAGCCTAGAGGAAATGTTTTCCGTTCTCAAGAAATGCCGCGGGAAAATGGACTGCCTAATTCACGAAATGTTATTCATTCGCGAACAAAAACCAAAGCTAAACACGCAGTCTGACTCAATACGTGCAAAAGTATTTATTTAAACATATACTGCACGATCTGACATGCTAAACACCAATAACAATGAACGCTCATTATTCTAATGAAGTTATCACATTTTATTTGTATATAATCTCTGAGCTACAATTTTACATCAGTTTTAACATTTTACTTGATAATGAGGTCATGCAGACTTCGAAACGTCGTAGTTTTTTACCGTTAATTTTCACTTTCTTTATACACGGTAAATTCTACTCAGTCGTGTATACAAGCAACATACCTACAAATGTAAAACTTAAAACTATACAATCATTATAAAATATTTTCAAAGATTAAAAGCCTAATCTAAACGAACTGAACTAACATCTTAGGTATTTGAAAATAAATGAAAATAGAAGTACTGCTTTACAGGGAAGCTGTGTCATTAGTTCACTCAAAACTGAAGTTACTTAGCTTCGTCTTAAACTCACCTTATGTTTTAGATACTCTAATATCAGTCGGAAGGCTATTTCACAACACGGCACTGCTATAAGAGAAACTTTTACGAACATAATCGGTACGAGGTTGCAGAAGAGCCAGCCTCATTTCACTATTTCGCAATCTATAACTAGTAGTATTACGAAAGATGCGTTTGTTTGATAAATAATCAGGTGTCTGTCCATTTAGAATTTTGAACATCATAATTGTTTGATCAACTGATCTTAATTATGTACTATACTGAACATAAAATTTCTGATGTGGACCAATTTTTTTATTTAACTGTGAGTCACTCTCTGCTATTGCCTCGTGCGACTCTCATGCTTCTTTCGTGCTTAGCAACTTCCCGCATGCATGCATCACTCGATAGTGTGTGCTGTAGTGTTTACCATTTCTCCATTTTATTAGTTTGTTCTTCCTACATAATAGATCTGATTTAGATCTACGTGCATATGTTTAGAGGTTTTATCAGATTAGAATTTGTGCTGGCTGCAGACGATGGCCAGCTTGGATGAATGATACGTTCTTGCATTGAAAAGTCATTCAGGGGTTGTATGCTATTCTTGAATCACTCAAGCACTTGAATCACTCAAGGTAGGTTGGTTCAAGCTGGGTGAGGCCAAAAATAACTTGTGAAAGGAAAATTGCCAAGCTTATAGCTGTCCTGAACTACATACTACACAAATTTCTTACCTGGTGCTGAGCTGTAAGTAACATCATTGGTTACAATTGGTGGTTCTTGTGGCATCTGAAATACAAATAATACAATTCTGCTACTTTTTTATCTAAAGTTAATAGAATAATGATTTGCCTTGTGAATTCTAAAATGAAAAAAAATCAGCAAACTAAATTATTGGATATCTGCACAAAAAGCCCAAGTTGTAGCACTACATGACTTACAAGACTGTGAAAATATTGTCCACTATAACTTCTGGCCAGTAAATTAGTGTGATCAAATTAAATTGCATGAGCTTGCTTCAAGATAATCCTGATCACCATGCTTATCATAAAGTTAGCAAATGATCAATACCTCAAGATTAAAAATTTTCCTACACCATTGACTGTAGTGTAATCACATCAAGTTGGTTTTTCTGTTCCTTCCCAATTGAGTAAATGCGTTAACACTCAACAAATACGCAGAAACAGCTAGCTGTTTTTAACCATGCAACATAGATGCTGGCAGAGAACTTTTCAGCATTGAACTAGGGACTGGGTTCATCAAAACTTTAAGAGAACTTTTTATATCAGCTTTTTGACAAAAGTGATACATTCTTAACATATTTTTGGGTCAAATATAAGTGGTTAGTTATGTCCATCATCTCTAAACTTGATTGTTTTTCTTTCCCATTTTTTTTATGTAGTTGCTTTGCCAAAGGTCAACCAACCTACCTTGAGTAATGCAGGTGGAACAAGGGCTCAGAATAATTTGCAACCTGGGAGTGACTTTTCATCGCATGGATTTACCAACCAGTTTCTAAGGCCATCTGCAGCCAGCTCAAATGTTGATATGATAAAACCACAAAACACAGCAGCCACAGGTACAAGTAGATCAGAATGGCTTTATATCTTCTATTATAACAGTGGTATACAGCTGTATGTTTCACAATAGTAGATCACCAAAAATATATCCATTTATGTAGATACATATGTACTATGTTATATCATTAAGATAAATACGTCTCAAATAGATTAACCATACATAGAAATCTACTTTGAATGGAGCAAGGACGAGAACCAACAACAAACTCAATCTACATGCATGAAGCTATGAGTTCATAAATCAAACCTGGGCCACATTGTGACAGGCAAGTGCTCTCAACACTGTGCCATTGCAGCCCCCATATCAAAAAAAGTATACTTTTAATGATAGACCTACAAAATCTAAATACTTAACATTAGGGTATATTGTTATTCTGTAATTTTAGGGGAAATTGTTGTATAATAAATTTACTTTGCTTTGGAAAAGGTGTGGAGCACAATGGTATGTGTACTTGAAAACTTAACAATTTTTTATTTCCATGCTCTTATTGCAGTGGCTTTGCAGCACTTGAAGGAGCCTGTATGTAACTCAAAAAATACAAGTGCAGCAATTATGACTCAGTATGACCTGCCAACCCACAGGCAATCAGCAACCAGCACAAATTCTAATGTGACAAATCCACAAGGTAAATCAAAAACTGGGTTATATCGGAGTTTTAATGTACAGTATAGTGTATTAGTATAATTTCAGAGCTGAGCAAAGAGTTTCCAGAAATCTGATTTGTCGAGCGTTTCCTTATGACACTGTATTATGATATAAACCGCTCCACGTGTTTTATATAAAATGTTAAAATAAAATGTTCAGCTCTGGAATTATACTAAAACAATTGCCTCAGGTTTGGTGAATATTGTTGAATAATCCCCTTGACTTCGTCTCAGGGATTATTCGACAATATTCACTGAACCTGAGGCGAGTAATTGTTAATTATAGAACCCTTTCACTCTCAAGATCTGCATATGAATAATTCAACTCAGTTGCATTCTCTAATTATGTCCCTTGTATGATTCTAGTTCTTAGAATTAGGTGTTAGATCAAGCAACATCTGCTTGTTGATAATTTTCTTTCTTCTTGTTACCTTTCTGTTTGAGTATGTACGAATGTGATGTAAGGAGAAATTCCTTGTTGGTCATTCCTGGGAGTGAAAGGGTTACAAGCATATGTTGTATCATTTAGGGAAAATGTATCTCAAATAGGTTAACCATAGATAGAAAATCTGCTTTAAATGGAGCAAGGATGAGAACCAATAGCAAAGTGAACCTACATGCTTGGAGCCAAGTCCATAACTCAAACCTGGGCCACAGTTGTGATAGGCGAACGCTCTCATCACTGCGCCATTGCAGCCCCTATATGTAGAAAATATACTTTAAAAGAAAGACCCACACAATCTACACAGAAATAGTTGTTTTTATCCTGTTACAACACCTGAATACTTAAACACTAGGGTATATTGTTATTCTGCAATTTGAGGGTAGACTGCAGTCACATAATTATTTAATTTGCATTGCTTTGGAAAATTATAAGTGGGCTGGGGCACAATGGTATTTCCATGCTCCTATTGCAGTGCCTTTGCCAGGCTTGAACCAGTCTACATGTGCTTCAAATAATACAATTACAACTCAGTATGGCATGCTTCCCTGCTGTGGCTTTCAAGTTCAAGAAAGCAACATCCCAGGTCCAGGGTCATCAGCAGCCAGCACAAGTTTTAATGTGACAACAGCACAAGAAATCACAGCTACAGGTAAAGAAATATTTTGACTTTTTGTGTGTACAGTATAGTATCTTTATATTAACCATTCCACTCTCAGGACCTAAATATGAATAATTCAATTCTGTGCCATTCTCCTGTTATGTCTCTTGTATGATTACAGTTCTGATAATTTGCATGGTGTTAAATCATGATAATAGTAATAATAATTTAATATTTATATTGCGCAAATTAACATTTGGATAATTATGATCAAATGCACATCACAACACTTTACGGGGGACTTTGGCCTGACTGCATCAGCAGTTTACAATTAATCGAAGGAAACTTATTTGAAAATGCCCCCTCCCCCCAATTCCCAGTAAACAGGCCAGACCACATCACAGTAATCTCGTGGGTGGGTTCTTTAACGTCCCCTGCCTAACCAAATTAACTTATTAATAGATGCAGGAGACGGGGCTTACGGTTTATTAGTCCTTATCCGAGAAGACTAGAAAGTCTATCCATTTCTTATTAAAGAAAGGTAGCACATTCTCCTCAGTTATTTTAAGACCTTGAGTGTTGGTCCGGCCGGGGCTCAAACCATCGACCTCGACCTCCCGCACAACAGTCAAGTGCTCTAACCAATTGAGCTAACCGGGGGGCGGTTGATCCAAGTAATATCCGTTTTTTGATAATTTTTTTTCTTCTTGTCACCTTTCTCATTGGATATGTATGAATGTGATGTTGAGGTCAATTGATCAAACAATTATGTTGTACATCATCCTGGTAAATTTTATCGTGTCGTAGATTAATTCTGAAATCATTTACTATAATATATAAACATGCAGCTAGTAAGATACCTGTTTCATTCAGTGACATAGCTCAGAACTTATCTGNTCATTCCTGGGAGTGAAAGGGTTACAAGCATATGTTGTATCATTTAGGGAAAATGTATCTCAAATAGGTTAACCATAGATAGAAAATCTGCTTTAAATGGAGCAAGGATGAGAACCAATAGCAAAGTGAACCTACATGCTTGGAGCCAAGTCCATAACTCAAACCTGGGCCACAGTTGTGATAGGCGAACGCTCTCATCACTGCGCCATTGCAGCCCCTATATGTAGAAAATATACTTTAAAAGAAAGACCCACACAATCTACACAGAAATAGTTGTTTTTATCCTGTTACAACACCTGAATACTTAAACACTAGGGTATATTGTTATTCTGCAATTTGAGGGTAGACTGCAGTCACATAATTATTTAATTTGCATTGCTTTGGAAAATTATAAGTGGGCTGGGGCACAATGGTATTTCCATGCTCCTATTGCAGTGCCTTTGCCAGGCTTGAACCAGTCTACATGTGCTTCAAATAATACAATTACAACTCAGTATGGCATGCTTCCCTGCTGTGGCTTTCAAGTTCAAGAAAGCAACATCCCAGGTCCAGGGTCATCAGCAGCCAGCACAAGTTTTAATGTGACAACAGCACAAGAAATCACAGCTACAGGTAAAGAAATATTTTGACTTTTTGTGTGTACAGTATAGTATCTTTATATTAACCATTCCACTCTCAGGACCTAAATATGAATAATTCAATTCTGTGCCATTCTCCTGTTATGTCTCTTGTATGATTACAGTTCTGATAATTTGCATGGTGTTAAATCATGATAATAGTAATAATAATTTAATATTTATATTGCGCAAATTAACATTTGGATAATTATGATCAAATGCACATCACAACACTTTACGGGGGACTTTGGCCTGACTGCATCAGCAGTTTACAATTAATCGAAGGAAACTTATTTGAAAATGCCCCCTCCCCCCAATTCCCAGTAAACAGGCCAGACCACATCACAGTAATCTCGTGGGTGGGTTCTTTAACGTCCCCTGCCTAACCAAATTAACTTATTAATAGATGCAGGAGACGGGGCTTACGGTTTATTAGTCCTTATCCGAGAAGACTAGAAAGTCTATCCATTTCTTATTAAAGAAAGGTAGCACATTCTCCTCAGTTATTTTAAGACCTTGAGTGTTGGTCCGGCCGGGGCTCAAACCATCGACCTCGACCTCCCGCACAACAGTCAAGTGCTCTAACCAATTGAGCTAACCGGGGGGCGGTTGATCCAAGTAATATCCGTTTTTTGATAATTTTTTTTCTTCTTGTCACCTTTCTCATTGGATATGTATGAATGTGATGTTGAGGTCAATTGATCAAACAATTATGTTGTACATCATCCTGGTAAATTTTATCGTGTCGTAGATTAATTCTGAAATCATTTACTATAATATATAAACATGCAGCTAGTAAGATACCTGTTTCATTCAGTGACATAGCTCAGAACTTATCTGACATTAAATTATGGATTGTGCTTTTACAAAAGTGACATTTTCTTGCTACGCATTATTTTGGTCAAACATAAGTGGTTGACTATGCCCTTCATGTATGCACCAGACAGTTTTTCATTTCTACGTTTTCTTTTTTATTTAGTTGTTTTGCCTAACTTAATGAACCAATCTGCCTTGAATGATACAAGTGCACCATTCATGGTTCACTTCATGTATGAACCAGACAGTTTTTCATTTCTACGTTTTCTTTTTTATTTAGTTGTTTTGCCTAACTTAATGAACCAATCTGCCTTGAATGATACAAGTGCACCATTCATGGTTCACTTCATGTATGAACCAGACAGTTTTTCATTTCTACGTTTTCTTTTTTATTTAGTTGTTTTGCCTAACTTAATGAACCAATCTGCCTTGAATGATACAAGTGCACCATTCATGGTTCACTTCATGTATGAACCAGACAGTTTTTCATTTCTACGTTTTCTTTTTTATTTAGTTGTTTTGCCTAACTTAATGAACCAATCTGCCTTGAATGATACAAGTGCACCATTCATGGTTCACTTCATGTATGAACCAGACAGTTTTTCATTTCTACGTTTTCTTTTTTATTTAGTTGTTTTGCCTAACTTAATGAACCAATCTGCCTTGAATGATACAAGTGCACCATTCATGGTTCACTTCATGTATGAACCAGACAGTTTTTCATTTCTACGTTTTCTTTTTTATTTAGTTGTTTTGCCTAACTTAATGAACCAATCTGCCTTGAATGATACAAGTGCACCATTCATGGTTCACTTCATGTATGAACCAGACAGTTTTTCATTTCTACGTTTTCTTTTTTATTTAGTTGTTTTGCCTAACTTAATGAACCAATCTGCCTTGAATGATACAAGTGCACCATTCATGGTTCACTTCATGTATGAACCAGACAGTTTTTCATTTCTACGTTTTCTTTTTTATTTAGTTGTTTTGCCTAACTTAATGAACCAATCTGCCTTGAATGATACAAGTGCACCATTCATGGTTCACTTCATGTATGAACCAGACAGTTTTTCATTTCTACGTTTTCTTTTTTATTTAGTTGTTTTGCCTAACTTAATGAACCAATCTGCCTTGAATGATACAAGTGCACCATTCATGGTTCACTTCATGTATGAACCAGACAGTTTTTCATTTCTACGTTTTCTTTTTTATTTAGTTGTTTTGCCTAACTTAATGAACCAATCTGCCTTGAATGATACAAGTGCACCATTCATGGTTCACTTCATGTATGAACCAGACAGTTTTTCATTTCTACGTTTTCTTTTTTATTTAGTTGTTTTGCCTAACTTAATGAACCAATCTGCCTTGAATGATACAAGTGCACCATTCATGGTTCACTTCATGTATGAACCAGACAGTTTTTCATTTCTACGTTTTCTTTTTTATTTAGTTGTTTTGCCTAACTTAATGAACCAATCTGCCTTGAATGATACAAGTGCACCATTCATGGTTCACTTCATGTATGAACCAGACAGTTTTTCATTTCTACGTTTTCTTTTTTATTTAGTTGTTTTGCCTAACTTAATGAACCAATCTGCCTTGAATGATACAAGTGCACCATTCATGGTTCACTTCATGTATGAACCAGACAGTTTTTCATTTCTACGTTTTCTTTTTTATTTAGTTGTTTTGCCTAACTTAATGAACCAATCTGCCTTGAATGATACAAGTGCACCATTCATGGTTCACTTCATGTATGAACCAGACAGTTTTTCATTTCTACGTTTTCTTTTTTATTTAGTTGTTTTGCCTAACTTAATGAACCAATCTGCCTTGAATGATACAAGTGCACCATTCATGGTTCACTTCATGTATGAACCAGACAGTTTTTCATTTCTACGTTTTCTTTTTTATTTAGTTGTTTTGCCTAACTTAATGAACCAATCTGCCTTGAATGATACAAGTGCACCATTCATGGTTCACTTCATGTATGAACCAGACAGTTTTTCATTTCTACGTTTTCTTTTTTATTTAGTTGTTTTGCCTAACTTAATGAACCAATCTGCCTTGAATGATACAAGTGCACCATTCATGGTTCACTTCATGTATGAACCAGACAGTTTTTCATTTCTACGTTTTCTTTTTTATTTAGTTGTTTTGCCTAACTTAATGAACCAATCTGCCTTGAATGATACAAGTGCACCATTCATGGTTCACTTCATGTATGAACCAGACAGTTTTTCATTTCTACGTTTTCTTTTTTATTTAGTTGTTTTGCCTAACTTAATGAACCAATCTGCCTTGAATGATACAAGTGCACCATTCATGGTTCACTTCATGTATGAACCAGACAGTTTTTCATTTCTACGTTTTCTTTTTTATTTAGTTGTTTTGCCTAACTTAATGAACCAATCTGCCTTGAATGATACAAGTGCACCATTCATGGTTCACTTCATGTATGAACCAGACAGTTTTTCATTTCTACGTTTTCTTTTTTATTTAGTTGTTTTGCCTAACTTAATGAACCAATCTGCCTTGAATGATACAAGTGCACCATTCATGGTTCACTTCATGTATGAACCAGACAGTTTTTCATTTCTACGTTTTCTTTTTTATTTAGTTGTTTTGCCTAACTTAATGAACCAATCTGCCTTGAATGATACAAGTGCACCATTCATGGTTCACTTCATGTATGAACCAGACAGTTTTTCATTTCTACGTTTTCTTTTTTATTTAGTTGTTTTGCCTAACTTAATGAACCAATCTGCCTTGAATGATACAAGTGCACCATTCATGGTTCACTTCATGTATGAACCAGACAGTTTTTCATTTCTACGTTTTCTTTTTTATTTAGTTGTTTTGCCTAACTTAATGAACCAATCTGCCTTGAATGATACAAGTGCACCATTCATGGTTCAGAATGATCAGGAACCCTGGAATGACTTTCCAATGGAAGAAGGTAACCAGCTTCCTCTAGGACCATCTGCAGCCTGTGTGGATGTTGATATAATATCACAAACCATAGCAGCTGCAGGTAGATCAGAATGAGGGTACATCTCCCATTAAATACAGTGGATTAAGTATTACAATAAGTAGATCAAATGGAAAAATTTTTTTTTGTAGATCTGATATCATGTACTTAATGTGTCTCAAATAGACTTACCAGTCGTAAAATTCAACTTTAAATGGTAGACTTGGGCAATTTACACAGAAATAGCTGTTTTTACCCCAAAACAGCACCTACAAAACTTGTTAGCCCTTAATCTCAAAATGCTTGCATTAAATGATTATTTATTAATAAACTTTTTGAGAAAATAATGGTTTCTCACCGCATTCTTGAGTCCTATTAGTAGATGACTGGTTGTTATGCCTTTCTAATGATTTCAATGCAGTGGCTTTTCCAAAAAAACTTAGGTTTTTCTGTTAATTTGTTGCTGAGGATATTTAACAATTATTCCAAGAGCGCGTGTTGGATATGAGATGATAGATAGCCAACAAGGTGTGTAGCCCTGAGTTGGCTATAATCATCTCATATCCAACGAGAGCGAGGGGAATAATTCTTTTATTAAAAACGTTAAATTAAGTTATTAAATTGTATTAAATTTTTAGCTCCCTTTTAATTTTAAGCTGGCACGTACGCTTACCATATTTGTAGATTATGGTATATTGGCTGATATACCATAATGGCTAAGCCAATAAAAAGTCTTGAATTGCATTATCCATTGATCTAGTTTTTAATAAATACATTTATTTTAGTATTTCTCAGCAATCAAGTTTATGGTTCGTGTTGGCCAGTTATACCAGGTCTTGATAACTCACTAGTGCCAGATCCAGACCTTGAGCTGAGGGGGGGAAGGGGCAATTTTGTTTGTTGCGTTGACCCTGTGCCCCTCCCCTAGATCCGCCACTGCTCACCGGTCAGCATCAATTTCTCTCTAGCTCAATTACCTCCTCGCGAGAACTTAGATTATACCTTTGTGCAGTGTTCATTGGGAACGTTTTTGAATATTTTCTTTAAAGAAAATTGCTTGTATCTTTTACTTTAAGCAGATTGGTATCCAGACTTCAAAACATTGGAGGAGCAATGGCGTGAAAAAGTAAGATCTCATCTCCTAGCATGCCAGAATTAGGATGTGATTGCTATATTAACTAGACATTCATTTACCAGCCATTTCATTTAATGTTAATTGAAATTATTTTGTATTCAACTCTGAATTTTTAATTTTTTTTTCATCCGTCCATCAGCTCATTGCTCGCATATTGTATGTTTAATCATTAAGTAAGGTATATTTATTAGCTAGTATTAAAATGATGTTCAGTGATAATAACACTTAATCCCAGATTTGTGAAAACTAGTTATAGACGTTACAACCTAGACTGCAGTTAACAGTTTTTCAAAGTGTTACACTAACCTGTTTTCTTTCTAATTTTTGCAGATACCGGATCTTTCTGACAATGACGTGAAAGGTACTTCAATTACTTTCGTTGACCTAGAGTTAGGAAGATAAATGACCCATATTTGGTAAATGGCCCATATTTGCTAAATGGCCCATATTTGCTAAATGGCCCATATTTGCTAAATGGCTTTCTACGAGAGGTACAGCTCGTACATTCTGTATGGTAGCAGAATGGTGCAACAGATGTGCATATACGAGACGTTTCTGTTGGTGCATTAGTAATGTCGTGCCTTTCTTTGAGAGCGGCCGAAGGAAATGTGTGGTGCAATGAGGACTTGTGTTACATGTAGTGCGCAGAAATCAAACTAAAAGAAATCGAGAACTCTCCATGTCGTTTCGATCAGAGAAAAACTTGATCTTTTTATTTGTAGAAATTCACTACAGGCAACTGCCTTTAGCTGAATCGTTGGGATTAGCATTCGACTGAAAGTTGATGGAAATATTCACCGGAGAGTTGTTGAACGATACATTGGTAAACAGTCCACCTAGAACTCTTGCTGTTAGATTATCACTGCCGTTATTCATTGCTGTTGAGTTATTGCCAACTATTGATGGAAGTGCAAGGCTGTTGACATAAATTTCTCGCAAAGCCTCAGTGACAATGGTTTTGAAAACATTTTAAATTGACTTAGAAACCAAACTTTGTAACAATTTGACGTTAGTTGTTATGCTTACGTAGATGCGAAACAATATCACTTAGCCTCGTTTTCAACTTGCAATTCTACGCTAAATACCTCGCTCCTTGACCAATCAGAATGCGACTTTGTATTCAGTGATGCGATTCAAAGAGTAATCTGTTGGGTGATTTCAAATTGGAGGAATGCGTAGCGTTACGAGCACAATTACCCCTGGATTGTACGACAAGAAGCCGGAAATCAGACAGTTTAGACTTGAAACAGCAAATTAGGCCGAAAAAATATAGGCTGCAGAGAACCACTCATATTTTACTCTGTCGTGATCAGTGATGTGCCATAATTTTAGAGAGGGCGAGAAAGAACTAGCAAAAACTAGCGAGAACTTACAGAAACGGCATGTGTACAAATCTTTTGTAAAATCTCAATGATTCTCAGCAGATGATCTGTCACCACATGAAGATGAGAACTTTAACTTCAATATCACTCCGCATAAAGTTCCGCTGAAGGTAGGGGTTTTCGAAAATTATCATGGTTGAGTATTCATCACTGTATCAGTGCACACCTTATGTGATTGATAGGCGGGTGACTTTCTGTTAGATGCATGTTTTAATGCTATAAAAGCACCCTAATTGTATGGCAATCAGCCATATTAAGAGTGTTCACCGCGAAATCCTTTCAATATGCAAATCAATAAATAAACAATTGGATATCATTATTTAACAGTTATTAAACTATTAAGGAAACAGTTTTGGATGTGTCTGAATGGATTAACAGATTAAGCTGTACATGGTATGGTGATCATCGTAAACGTTTGCAGTGTTCTGTTTTCCAGGGAGCGGACTACTGTCGCTTTGAATCTGATCGAGCGTTGCCAGGGAATGTGCAGACTGGATCTGCCAGTTTCGGGATGCTGGGAGATGTTGAAGTGGAGAGGTTTAAGGATAAATTCCTTATTGGAATGAAGATTCCACGTATGTTGATTCTTACTGCTTAACTATAAGGGTGAAACTTTCCTCAACTCTTTCTTAACTCGTGTGGAGACAAACGAAATGTTTAGCATGTGTTCTTTCGTGGTTATTAGAGTAATAGCAGGAGCATTTGTAATTACAAGTGAAAATGAATTTGGAAATTATTGGATCCGCCAATCCTTTTCTAATGTTGGTGTGACCGAAGTAACATGCATTCGTGTTCTATACTTTGTTTGAATGTCACACCCCAACAATATCAGACAAAATTTTTAAAGAAAACAAAACGAAACAAAACAAAAAAGCAGGAAAAAAAACGAGAAGCGCAAAAGGGAATGAGATGCGAGTTATGCCTTCTCCACAGTTTTAATTGTGATTGTCATTATTTTTGCGCGGTTTTGTTATCACAGGTGCCGAAGAGCCAGGGCGGATCGACATTCATTTATTCTTTGATGGTAAAACGTTGGGCAAAACAGACATTCTGTTTTATGATGAAGACGACGAGGCCTTCAAGCGGGTGATTAAAAGTCCCATTCTACAGGTTCAAGTACTTCGAAAATGTGCTGATAATCTGGAAAATCATAACACTGCAACATGCAATGGCGGTGAAGCACAAAATTTGGGAATTTGTGGTGAGTAGTTTAACTTGTTTATAACATCCGAATGTCATGAGAACTACTCGAGAACTACTGCAGTTGTCCCCAGCAGATGCAAATGAAGGCGAAAATCCGAAATGGTTTAATTTTTATATGATTTCAAGGATTCTGCAAGGCTTGAATCATGAATAATTGCTAACACCATAGCCTGCAGTTCCAGCGTCGTATTAAGGCCATCATTTGTTTAATATGGTGTCAGAGTCGACGTTGGGGGTAAGGGGCGGGGGAAGGCGTAATATTCACTGCCCCACCCCCTCCCTTCTTTTTGATTGCGCTCACCCCCTTGGTACAAAAGTTTATTTCTCTACCCAGCCTTCCGCTGCTGTAAAGTCAAATATGGCAGCTGAAATATTCACTGAGATAATACTGAGCACTCGCCTGCCAAAATTACGCCTGCTCTGCAGGCTGCTAACATAGTCAATCTTGCTATCAATAAATCAATCAATCGATCTATCAGCCAATCATTCAATTAATTTTGACAAATCATGCATCATTTATGTATATCCTTTAATTCTTTAAAAATATCACATTACAAGCTATCAATATTGACCCCTACGTATTGCAAAGTAATACTGAATATCATTCTTTAAAAAGACATACATTTGTGAAGACAATTTTTAGCGAATTGTCTTTGTTGTTCTCTTACTAATAGTTGGATTTGACTGGCTGGACCACACAATGTAAAAGTAAACAGTCAGTACTAGCGAAATGGGGTTTCTGACGCATTTTGGAAAATTGCCTTTTTTTTTTAGGATAAATTCAAAAATTGCCTTAAAAACAAGGCAATCTAAAAAATGTGTGAAAACAACCATGTTTTCAAGGTAATTTTGAAAAAAAGAAATTTTTATTTTTAATCTCATTTAAAAAAAGTTCAACGATGATTTCAAGGCAAAATGATTGACGCATTTTTTTCTTCAAAATCGAAGCAAAATTGACGAATTTTGAGATTGCATTGATTTTCGAGACAATCTCAAATGCGTCTGAACCATCAGGCAAACTAATTATGACAACATCTCAGAAATAATCCCAAAAAAACTCATAGAGGCTTACGAAGCATTTTGAAACGTTTTTCAAATCATCGAATTCCTTCAGGAGGTAACTCAGTTTTAGGAGGAACAATCTGAAGCTCTTCTCTAACGAACCCTCGCTTTGGTCCATCTTTCGGATAGTAGAGAACAGGCTCTCTTTCATTCACAAGTGTTTTTTCAATATTGAAGACCTTCAGAGACCAGATTGGATCTGTTGCTCTTCTTTGGCCACCTTCTAACTCACTAGCAGCATGGATATATCTCACGTTCTTTTGAAGAGTCGAGTCTCTTTTCTTTCAAGCCGAAAGGTCTTGAATAAGAAGTTGAACCCTTGGTGTCAACTGCCTTTTTCTTTGATTACGTCAATTGGTTTCTTTCTAGTCAATCTTGTCTCCTCACGATTCAATGCTGAAACAACTTCTGGAAGCCTCTTTACCCATTCTGTTGATCTCTTTTTGTCTTTAAAGTTCATCTCTTGACCGTATTGGAAAGTAAAGAGGCGCTCACCCAAAGTTCGATTAAATCGCTCAACCATCCCCTCATCTCTGTGAACGTTTACATTTCCTGTTTTAATTCTCACATCATGGTTTGCCGTCTCGCCCATGCATTCACGTCCAGTATCAACCTGAAGAACTTTTGGCCATCTCAATGGTCCTCTCTTGTAAATTGTCTGGAGAGCCTTTGAGACCTCAGAAGAATCTTTTGAGGTGAGAGGTTCGGCAGCCTTGAATCTGCTCGTAACATCAACAACTGTCAATGCATATTTATAAACCTTTCTTCCTTTAGGAAATCTGTCATGAGGAAGGAAAAGCAGATCAGCCTGATTAACTGTGTTTGGAGATTCAACGTCAAATGTTGGTCGTAGGACATACTTCGGGGCAGGCAAATAAATCAGCCAGATGGCCTGCTTTATCAGCCAAAGCTTTGCAACATCTTCAGGAACTCCAGCTTCCTTTGCCAACTTCTTCACTGTATCTAACCCCTTCCAAAATCCTTTCGGGCTATAGTAAACTCTTGAAAGTTTTCTTCCCATTTTCTTTTGCGATCAAAAAAAACGACTTGCAGCCAATCCCAAAGCTAAAGCCATTCCTCCGACGTAGATCATTTCACCTTCCTTTTGTTTTGTGCGCGGCTTGTAGAAGTTAGAAAAATGTAGCTCTTCCACATCAAGCTCTTCATTATGTGCCTTGTTGTAAAGCTTTAAAGCAGAGTCTGTATCAACAAAATTTTTTTTTGCCTCTTTCTTGATTCGGTCGTTTGCTGCAATCCAATCAAGGAGCTTCGTTCGATTCTCTTGATATTTCTGATGGGCCGCCTGGTATTTTTCCACAGTAAGATCATGTCTCTTCTTCAGAAGTCATCGGTTCCTTTATAACTTTCTTTGCAACCTATCCGATTCCAGCAGCCAATCCAGTCAATGTAGCTGCATCAATCAAAGTTTTCACAAGTGTATTATCAGACATTTTAATTTGGAAGATAAAAAAATCAATCCATTGGTTTTACTCTTTTTAGAATTTGAGTTTGTCTTGGTTCTGGTTCTGGGTTTGGTCGTGACTTATTTACGAGCTCCATCAACTCTTTCCTTTTATCGTACAGTCCAGCCAGTGAAGGAAAGATACTTGCTACTGAAAGAATTTGAGTGAGTGAGATTGATGATGATGATTATGATGGTTCTGGTTTTGGTTCTGGTTCGGGTTTTAAATCCTTCAGATTGCTTTAAATTTTCTTGTAAAGCATTCGCCTTTATTTGTTCCCTAGCTCTTCTGTTGTGTTCCGCAAATTTTTTTCCAGCAGCGACCCGCCCTGGATCTTTTTTCAGTTCGTCTTATTTTTTTCAGTTGAGGTGACTTGTTGTGCTGGCTCATGGGATTCTTTTTCTTCCCTCTCATTTCTTGATACATTATTTTTAATTCTTATTCAAGTATTTATTCGAGTTCGTAGGCCAGTTCGTAGGCCAGTTCGTAGGCCAGTTCGTAGGCCAGTTCGTAGGCCAGTTCGTAGGCCAGTTCGTAGGCCAGTTCGTAGGCCAGTTCCTTGGCCAGTTCCTTTTTCAGATTCTTCACAAATATTATCTATTTCCTCATCATTAACCATTGGTGGTTTGATGGGAACTTCAACATTTTTGACAATGAGAAGAGGAGCACTTGCGATTGCCATGTACTTTCCATACTTCAGGCTCAAACCGCCTGCAATCATTCCAAGTTCTCTCTTTACAATGAAGTCATCGTTCAAGTCCTTCATAAGTTTTCCTTCGTCAACAAGAAGAAATACGCCAATGCTTTACATAAAAGCTGAAGAAATGTATTAACCATTTCTTCGCGAGTCTTTGAAGATATTGATGCTACGTATCTTTTGAAGTACTTCTCAACATCTTATTGAGAAAGCCTCTTCACTTGATCCTGGGTGAGAGATACACCATGGGTGATAGGTCCTGTTGTGGATGAATGTTGGACAAAACGGGAAAGTGTCATCGAATTTCAGAATGAATTTATTGCTCAAAAGATGGACGAGGTATTTTGTCTTTCCTGAATTTGTCGGTCCGATTATTAATGCATTGAATGGAATATTTTCAGGATTCATATTTTATAGTGGCCATGAGAAAAAGTTGATATCTTGTCTTCTCTTATTACTCTCTTTCATCATTTGCGCTCAAAGCTATCTTGTTGATGGTCTCGGTAAATATTTCATGTCTGTGCAATCTGAGTACTTTCATCTTCCTCATTTGTATGGTTCCGCTGAATAAGCACTTTTTGTAGTCTTCATGAGTTATATCACAGTCTTTTTTATTCCCTATCACTTCTTCTCTTCTTTGCTCGCTCCGCTTCCCCCAAGAATCTGTAAAGTTTTGCTCTCAATCCAACAAACTCCTCAATGATCTTTCTAGCAGCTTCATCTTTCATCATGCCTACGACCTTGTTGTTTCGGCCAGTTGGGATCCCTGAAATGTGATCTTTGGGAAAGTTGCTTGTGTCAAACTTGTGATAAACAACAACATGCCTTTGTGCCTGAACAAGTCTTCAGTTTCAATCTCATACATGACTGTCAGTGTCTGTGAAAAGAAGCTTTGCACAATCTCCATATTTCTCTTTGATGTAGTTATAGTGGAAGTCATACATCAAATTCTTGCTGATATAAAAAATAACCATTTCGAAGTAAACTGGCTTGTCAAACCTTATTGATGTTCTCTTTATATGGATTGCAATGAGATTTTCGTCAAATATTGTGCAATGCTTAAAGTTTGGTTTCGCTGAAAGCTATTTTGCTTTCTTTTGATTGTTGACTAATCTCAAATCAACTCGATTCCTGGTGTTTTCCATTGTTTTTCCAAAGACGGAGTTGTTCATCAACTTGAAGAAATCCTTTTCAAATTCGTTCTTTGCATTCGTGCGCAGATTTGTGTTGAGCTCGATGTAACTTTTCAGCCAAGGTTCTTACTCAAATTTGATTCCTATGTGAATATTTTTCAATCTTAAACCCAACGCAAGACATTGTTTGAGATTCTCGTGATGAATGATATATTCCATCTTATCGTTCAGATTTGGTAAAAGTTTTGGGACTTTGTTGATCAGAACCCTCTCTGGAGCAAGAGGATAATCGTTGTGAAGATTATGAAGCTCTTCTGGTTATTCAAGATCAACCTCAAGAATACAGGGAATGTTTCTCCAGTTTTTAATCTCTGCATGTCTCATCCAATTGAAACCTCTTACTGGAAGAGGTTTGCACATTGCCCATCCATAAAGATTGTTCGCGTCAAGATAAGTCAGATATTTTGATGGCTTTTCTGGGTCAAATGAATTTCAAGACTGTCGGTTTGACCTCTTGCATGAAGTCGTTTGGTCCAAAACCCTCGACTCCTTCTATTCTGAATAGCCTTGCGAAACCTGTCAATGCAGATGCTGACTCGCGAACTGTAAACGGATTACTTTCATAGTTTTCAACGAACTCGTTCCATTCATCTGTGCTCGCTTCGCTTGTTTCTGCGACTTCTGAAGTGGTTATTCTCAATCCAACCATCTCTTCAATTTCCCTTATTTCTCTTCTCCTTTGCCTCAGAGTCATCAACCTGTGCATCAACTTGCAGTCTGTGCTGTCTGGTGAAATTTCTTGTTGGTCTGAGAACTGGAGCATTGAAATCTGCTGGAACTGGGTGGTCAGTAATGTTTGATATGAACTCAATCAACTCCTGCTTTCTGAGTCTTGAATATTTTTTTGCTCGAGTCGTTTTGCCTCAGCTTTTAATTGTTCAACATTCATGTTCTCCATTTTTATATAATACAAAAAAGTTTTTTTACATTATATAAAATTTTGTTTGTGATTGCAAAAATCTCATTTCAATCTTTTTTCAAGAGATTCTTCTTGGAAACTCGCAGGGATAAGATCAGTGTAGTGATTATAAAAATCTGCTCTTCTTTTTAAAAAGATTCTAAAAATTTTGCTTTTTCTGAGTCTCCTGTCAACTTCCTTCTTTTCTTCTTCACTGAGAAGATTATAATCATCAAAAGTCCATTCGAATGGTTTTAATAATTTTTACACTGATTCTGTTTTTATTTTTCTCGCTGGATTTCGAAATTTGTAGAAAAAATCGATTTCTTTCATTTCTTACCTTTCAATCTCTTCTTCTCGACTTCCTGACATTTTTATACCTTACAAAAATTATTTTAGAAAATGTACAAAAATGGAAAAAAAGCTTGCTTCGCCAGACAAAAATTTGATTCCAATAAGCTCAAAAGAGTTCAGAGAAATTGTCAAAGGCTGTGGAACAAGATATAGAAACAAGATTCCAAGCAAAGAATTGAAAGAAATGCTTGGCTTTTGTTCGAAGTGAATGATAGACCCTTTGGGTCCAATGCAAAGCATCATGAAACGGGCTTTTGCAAAGAATATCAATCACTCGGAGAAGCCGCAAAAGATTGTGGAATATTAAATTCTTCCGCTATCAAATATGCAATGGATAATCAGAGACCTTTCATCAAGAGGAGATCAGACCGGAAAAACTATTTGTGAAAGAAATTTGACTGGCAGGAATTTGCACATCTTTCAGCTCGAAAGTCTCTTTTTTTTTGTATCGAAACTACTAGGTTTGTTTTTTTCCAGAAGCCCACGTCTGTTGCATCAGTCAATTTTTGTCACGCAGTTTTGTCACACTTCTGCTATGAAATATGCACTTCATAATCAGCGAGTTTTCATCAAGAGGAGATCAAACAAATTATTCGTGAGAAAAAAATTTGGATGAAGAATCATCGCTTATGCGATACTGATTGAGAAGAGGATTTTTTTGGATGAAGAAACATCACTCGAGTGAAGAAAACTACTTTGATTGTTTTTTCCTCACAGACTGTATTACTACGTCAACATTCACCTGATGACTAAGCGTTAAAATTATCCGCTCGTGTGAAAAACTACTTTCAGTGTGTAATTGTTTTTCTTCCTCATAGACCGTATTACTACGTTAGCGCAGATCACGTTCTGCGGTTAGCAAGACAATAAATTATCACGTGGAAGACAATAGATACATTGCAAATTTCCCTAGTAACTTGAAGGTCTTAAAGAGGTTTCAAATATTTTTTTTCAGGTGGTTACCAGGAACGAGAAGAATAACAGACAAGAGCTTGAAAAGCTGCGCGGATCAATGCTGGCCGACTGTATGACTGAGTAGAAATTAACATTTTTGGACAAAACTTTGTCCCTTCTCCTTCGGGAGTCGTAAACGTCCTCTGTTTCATAAGATAGGCGTTCTGATGAGGCTTGATATCAGCCGAAACGACTCATTCAATAAAATGTTTCTTTTTTATCATGAATTAAACGCGTTTATTTTCGAGTCGTTCAGTTACGTAAGACACGGCTGTTCGCGTTGACGTAATTGAATTTGCACATCGTCAGACTATTTGTCTCGAAATAACCAAAGAAAACCCACTCGGTCTTTTGTCGAATTCAATTCTCAATTCTTTGCGAGTGTAAGCAGAGAGCCCAATTTTTTTGGTATTCTTTTTTTATTTCTTCTCTGAGAGTTGCATCATCAACTTTCTCTGAAGAATTTCGTGAATTATTTTTTCTGAGTTCTTTCTTCAATAATATAGATCAAATTCATTCAATATGGAAGCGAATTCAGCATCTGATATCGAAGAGTCTTGCAAAGCCTTCGACACGAGTCGGCTGATTGTGCGATGCTTCGCCTCAGCGAGACGGTTTTTTCGCGTTTCTCAGTTTTTTTGACGAGAGGTCTGTTTGCTACAGCCGCTGCGGCAGACACGAATCCCAGCAAACCCGCAATGACTGCCATAGGCGCAGCAATTACAATACCCACCCCGCTCAAAGCGCCTGCCAAACCACCTCCCGACAGAAAAGTTGTCGTGACTGACGATGTTATGTTACACACAGCTTTTACTCTCTTGTATTTTTTTGCGACTTGCTGGTAATGTGAAATCTCATTTTCAATTTCCTTCCGGAATTCAAATCTTTTTCAACCTAAAAACAAGCGGCATGCTTCCTGAATGTGGGAGAGAAGTATAAAGACTTTTCGGGCTAGTGGTGGTGCACCTGGGTTTGAAGATCTCGGTAACATATTTTCAGCAGAAATTTTATTTAAATAATTAAATGGTCTCAAACTCAAATCTCATTGGCATTTCATTGAAATCAATTATCTTATTACTTTCATCGGTTACGGAAATCTTTATAGATGTGATGTCATTCCTTGGAGATGTTTTTCGCTCTGATGGGGTTTCAGAAAAATAGTTCACCCTTTCAAAGGGCTCTCCGGCAATGTCGAAACACGCAAGAATGTTAGAAGGCTTTCCATTGAAAAGGTTTCATTCTCATCCAAAAGATCCCAGCGGACAAGGTAGTTATTAAATGATGATAACCTTTTGAAAGAGTTGATTTTTTGCAAACGTCGTTTAATTCCGGGAAGATCACCCAGATCATTATCGAGAAGAATCTTCTTGTTTTAAGGATTATGAATTTACAAACTTTACATTGAAGCATTCAGTTGAACTTTGACTCCTTCGTTTTTCAATCTATCTTCAAGAGCTTCGCCAAGGCTTTTCAATGAATAATTTCCCTCTGGAATTCTCTTTACTACGAAAGCCGAGAAGGGACTTCAGACTTCCGACTTCAGACATCGCTCCCTGGGCACCAGTCCACCAATTTTTCATTTCTTATTATGTGCCAGCATTGGATGACGATGTAAGCAGATTTGTTATTTATTGCTCTGTGTTTTCACCTATTTTGAATCTCCAAAAAAATTTTTTCCACCTCGTATTGGATACAAGCATAGTTTTTGGTTCTTTTTCAGTGTAAGATTTTGTGAGAACGTAGGTATTGAAACTGACCGGCAGTCTGATATTTCGCTCAAATTTAAGGATTCAAAGAGAACCATCCAGTTCAAACTATCATTATTATGTCGATTAAGAACTGCCAAGCGATCCAGGAAAGCTTTATAGATCGCAAGTCTAACGCTTGGTTTACGCTCGGCTCAGAGAGCGAAACCATGGTTTGTTACACTTAGTCATTTTTTAGGTGGACTGCCGGTCACGGTTTTCAAATCACTAAATAATAATAGTAACAATCTTTTATTAGGAAGCTCCTTCAAAATAGTGTTTTACATAGAGGTCCTAAAATGACCGGCAGTATGATACTTTTCTGAAATATAAGGGTAAACTCATCGATACCGTCCATCTTCACTGTTTTCAATGGATTTTTACAAATATCCTCTTACCCAGGGTACCTTAGTATGTGTGAAGAGTTGGTGTTAGAAGACTATGGGGAGGACCCGTTGAGAGAGATTTGACTAGGTTCCAGGTTGACCGCGCATTAACGGTCTCTCAGCTGCACAAGAAGTTCCTTCCACGCATTG